AACGAATTTTCGGAAATTTTGACCCAAAAGAGGGCTAAAAACAGTCTTTTCGAGTGCAAATGGGGGGGGGGGATGTTGGAAATTTGAGAGTTTTATCGGAAATTTAGGAGGCTTTGCCTCCCCACTGGAAAATTTCCGCACGATCCGCTCTACAGTTTCAGATTCAAGTTTCAAATTCAGATTCATATTCAGATTTGAATATGAAACGGGGGTACAAAATGTGGAATTGCTCAGTCTCTTTTCACGGAATAAACGTAATTCATCAAGGACATCCATTATCAGACTATTGCGCATTTGACAAAACTATACTTTAATTTTTAGCTCATAACGTGAAGCCAGGAAAAATCGCAGAAACTACACGACCAACGCGTGAATTCTTACTGCGCCATGTTTGTCTTGACCTGTCGACAAACTTATATTTCGCTTTGTATCGTAAAATACGCGTGTAGTTCCCAAATTTCTGAAAGACATAGGATAGGATAGGATAGGATAGGATAGGATAAAACTTTATTTGACTACGCTGGCCACTTCAACCGGAGCTGCTTTCCAAGTGGGGCGTAGATAAATGTTACAAAAATATATAAAATACAAAATCACTAAGAATATTAAGAACTACGAATACAAATACATATTACGAAACAAATGGTATACAAAAGTCAAATAGCTAATTCGTCAGACTAACAGAGGAAATATTTCTATTGAAAGAATTTAAAGATTCGCTGTTTCTTACTTGTTCAGGAATGCTATTCCAGATTTTAACCCCACTATATCGAAAACATTTTCTGCCATACTCGGTATTTGGTCGTGGCAGAAAGAGAGACGAATTTGAACCTTGTAAATTATAACTGTGGATATGGTTAGAATTCTGGAACATTGATGAGAACCTCGATGGTGCCAAATTATTGACAACCTTAAACATGAGACGGGCCATATTATGTTTTCGCCTTTCTTCCAAGCTTATCCACCCCAATTGATCGAGGGCCAGTTGAGATTGCCCAGGCTCATCTTTAAAGTTCATTATAATTCTAGCACATCTGTTGTGAAGTTTTTGTAGTCGTTCAGACTGGCCTCTATTAATGGAATTCCAAACTTCACAACAGTAGTCGAAATGGGGTTGGACAAGACCATAATAGACTGACTTCAAAGTATCAGAATTAGTGAAATCCTTTATCTTTTTCATGGCACTTATTCCAGAAGATATTTTTTTCGAAATTTGGTCAATATGACTGTCCCAAGTTAAAAATTGATCAATTTTGACTCCAAGAGCTTTTGTAACTTGAACCCCTTTAATTGGTTCATCTCCAATAAAAACACGCGGTTGTTCTTCTAACGTGTTAATATTGTGGCGTGATCCAATCAAAAGATATTCCGTTTTGACAAGGTTAAGAGAGAGCCTGTTCGATAGAAGCCATTCTCTGATATTATTGAGATCAGCATTAACGGCCACCTCAGCTTCCTTAATTGATTTACCGGACACTGTGATGTTAGTATCATCGGCGAACATACGTGCTGTAGAGTGTTGTAAGCAGTTCTGCAAATCGTTGATATAAATTAAAAACAGAAGTGGACCCAAAATTGAACCCTGAGGAACTCCATATTTTAGATATTTTAATATGGAAAGTTCCCCATTTACTTGACATTTCTGAGATCGATCTGATAAGTAAGATTTGAGAAGCATAAGAGGCGTGTTCTTAATACCATATAACTCTAGTTTAGCCAGTAAAATGACGTGGTTTACCGTGTCAAATGCTTTTTTTAAATCGAGAAAAACGGCAAGATTATACAAACCACGATCCATATTAACATACCACTCATCAGTACAATCTAGCAATGCAGTGGACGTGGAATGAAAGCGCCTGAACCCAAACTGCTGTTCAGACAATAAATTATTGGTGGTAAAATATTCGTATAACTGCTCATACAAGATCTTTTCAAATATTTTGCTAATAACCGGCAAAATTGATATTGGCCTATAATTGTCTAAATTAAAACGAATTTTCCATTCAGACGGGAAAATTCCCATCCCAATAGCAGAGTTAAACAGATTAGCCAAAGATGGTGTAATTACAGAAGCAGATTTTTTTAGAATTTTAGCCGGTATTTTGTCACATCCAGTAGATTTAGAAATAGACAAATTGTTAAGTAGCCTAAAAACCTGTGATTCGTTAACAGGATGCAAAGTAAATTCCAAAGTATTTAGATTATCACTCATATGCCTGCCAAAATTTAAATTCTGAGTGTATTCAGAGCAGGAGTCTCCAATTTTACCACCAATACTTGTAAAATAGTCATTAAGACTATTAGCCATTCTCATAGGAGAAGTAATTGTATCATTTCCTAGCTTTAGTTGGTTAATCATTGTGTCCTTCTTTTTTCTCCCAAGGATATCATTAATCATCCTCCACTGAGCCTGCATGTTTAGGATTATTTTGATGTTTGTCAAATTTGCTTTTGTAGTAAACTTTCTTAGCTTCACGCATTGCAATGTTGACATTATTCCTATAATGTTTATACTGGTTCCAGTCTTCACTTAAATTCGACGAAATTGCTTTTCTTTTCAAACGGTCCCTTTCAAACATTTTGTTTCTGATATTCCTAGTAATCCATGCCACAGATGTTTTATTTCTTACCCGTCTTTCCCTAACCGGGGCTTGTTTATCAAGAACAGTTATAAAAAGATTTTTCCAACATGCCCATTTATTATCAATATCGGTTTCTCTGTCAACTAAATACCACGGTAAGTTTATAAGGTCGACCTTGAAATTCTCAACATTGAAATGCTTGAAGCTTCGAAATTCGAATTCACTCACTCCCATATGAATTACATCATGAAATGCAATTCGCTCAGGACAGGAGGTAATACAAACGTCTAGTAACGTAGAAGACGATTCAGTAATCCTTGTAGGCTTATCGATTACTTGTGTAAGTTGATAAAGTTGCATGATAGAATGTTTTAGCAGAAGAGTTGAACCGGCTGGTCTAACAGATTACAGTTTAGATCTCCTAAAAGTAAATTTCCTTATTCTCGTTATCGACATTCTTAAGCAAAGATTCAATTTGTGAGAAAGATTCGACGGTTGCTGACGGCGGACGATAAATAGTAGAAACGATAAAGGAACGAGAGTTGGACCGGTTAATTTCCAAACATACTGACTCTAAATTTTCCGGCACTAAATCACCCCGATTTAAATATGATATCGTCCGCCTAATGTAAAAACAGACACCGCCACCGTGTTTGTCCCTATCCATGCGAACTATATCATATCCGTCAATATTAACAAATTCACTTGGAATATCAGGGTGAAGTCTTGTTTCATTGAGTGCCAGAATATCAACAGTCTGATTTTCTAACAATAAGCGAATTTCATCAATGTGTTTCGACAAACTGACAATATTCAGTAATGCCATCTTGAAACCCCCTAAGATATGGTAACCTATTCGAATACAAAATTTTCTCCGAGTTAGTCTGACGGATGTCACGTCAATTTAAAAAATCCATATTGTTTCTTTGCATTATCGTGCTACCTCTGCGGTTCAAGTACATATACATTTGTGTATATTCTAATTGTATACAATACCATGTTTTATATTATACAAATAATGAATGTTTATGAGTGCAATGGTAAGAATATTTTCATGAGGTGAAAGATGGAATGTTCCGTTCAACGAGGCGACAGCCGAGTTGAATGGAACATTCCATCTTTCACCGAATGAAAATATTCTTACCATTGCACGAAGAAACATTCATTATTTGTTTTATATAATACCAAAATAGACCAATAGATTCGTATGAGAAGCATTTTGAGGGATGCGATTTATCGAAAACACAAAGAGTGCAATTGCACTATACGTTTTATTCCATTGCACTCGCGGAGAGTGCAATGGAACGTGTTCCATTGCACTCTTGGGAAATGGAATTTTCTATTCAACATCACGTGACCATAAACAGCCAATTAAATTATTAGAATTTAATGAGGTATTATATAAAGCATATTTAATTCTTAATAT